CGGTGGGGGGCTCCGGGGTCTGGCGCCGCGGCCCTGCGGGCGGGAAGGGCTTCCAGCACCGGGCTGCCCTCGCCGTCCCGCGGTCTCCCACTCGGGCCCTTCGCGCAGCCTGAGCGCAATTGATCGGATGCTGTAATTGCCCGAGCAGAACGAGGCGCTGGTTGGAAGCAAGCAGCGGTGAGAACATGGCGGTTGCTTGAGACTGTCCTTGTCAGCCCTCGCCACTGCAGCACGCGGATTTGATTCTTACTGTATTACAAAGCAGCCATGATCAGTCTATGAAATGAGTGGGAATTGTGATTACGGCTGTTCAAGCAGTCCTGTAACCTTCAAGTAGCTCTTAACTGGCAAAACAACTTTATAAGCTATAGTGGTTATTCTGTGTTTTGGTTCAATCTGCAACTTGTAACTTTGGAAGCAAGTTAAATTAATAATAGTAGTGCAGCTGTAACTTTTTGAGAAATGGTTTTCAACTTTTCCACATGACTAAATCTAGACACCTAAAAATCGCCTAGTAAAGATGGAGACTTCTGTGTAGCAAAAGTAAGTCTATTGACAATGCTTCTGTCATAGTGGTTTTGATGGACTTCACAGAAGTAATTCACAGGCATTGCTTCCTGTTAACCCTGCAGTCTGTCTACCACAAGCTGAAACCACTGCCTTGAGGAACTGTTATTACAGAAGTAACTTAAAAATACACGCATAATTAAGGTTGATAATTTTTCATGTAGTTAGCTGGTTGTTTTTTTTTTTTTTTTTTTTGTTAAATAGATTATAGGGGAAAAAATCTTTACATAAGGACAGTAAATGTTCAGAAGGAAAATACACATTGAGATGATTCAGTAGTTATGGCAAAGGATAAGAAGAAAGATGGCAAGAAGGCAGAAAAACCTGTACGTCCTCCTATTCCTGCACAAGATACTACAGCTGAGAATAGTTCAACACAGCTGACAGATTTGCAGACTTTGGTGAATGGAGTGGAAGAAACACAAGGAAATCCAGTGATATCAAATAAAGAACCAGAGGAGGTAGAGAAACCTCCAGTCCAAGATGTTCCTCAATACTACGAGGAGCCTGTTCTTACTCAAGTTATTGTAAAAAGGTATGCTTGTTACAAATACATCAGTGAAGTCAAGAATTCTTGTTTAAGTATCTCTGGTATATCCAGTGTCATACAAACACAGATTTGACTCTTGATTTGAGGCAGTGAATCGGGTTATTCAGAGCTAGTAGCCGTGACACCTTATGAGACGGATACATGTGGAATTCTGCTGCCTTCTTGCATCCTAGGGTGTTGCTGGTGCTCTCTGCTTGCCAAAAGCCTTATTCTTTTAGCTTGTTCATCTACGGTGAAGTTTTGTCCAAGTATGCAGACAGTTGGTGAAGAAAATGTAGCTCTGTCATTTAATGTTCAGTTGTTGTTGTTATTATAATTATTATAATTATTTTATTGTTATTAGCCTTTTAAACAGCCTAAACTGAGGAAACAGGTGAATGGTAGCATTAACCAAATCCTTTGGTAATTCAAGGGGACTAATATGTAATATTTCACATACTGACCAGGTTGCCTGGTTGTAAGCTAGTAAATGCTAACAATGTGCTTTGTTTTCTTAATTGAAAGAAATAAGGCAGCACAACAATTAAGTGAAATACTACAAGGAAGATGAAAAATGGGATATTTTGTTGTAGCTCATATTCCTACATAAGATGCAACAACTGGCCTGTGTGTAGACCATGGTAAATTAAAGGTATTATGTCTGTTGTGATTTAGGTCTACTGGCAGTGACTTGAAATCTTCATCTTTAGTTTGTTTTCCTTGTAGCTACGAAGGTGAAAAAGTCCATGGATTGTATGAGGGTGAAGGATTTGCATATTTTGAGGGGGGAAATACATATAAGGTGAGTGTATAAATCTAAAAAAAAAAGTAGTGGATCAAGTTCTTTCTCTAGAACAGGCAGGCTATTTCTTTTAACATAGGTGGAGGTTGAGCACTTAGAATGTGTAAGCATTGAAAGCTCTGTTGGTTTCTGGCATTAAAACTTCAAACTAGTAGTTGGAGGGGAATTAATATGTCATTATTTTGAAATCTTGTAGTCACTGTAGGCTTCAGTTGTGGTAAGAATAAATTTGCAAATGATGCTGTTCTCTTCATTTTGAAGGGCATGTTTTCTGAAGGGCTTATGCATGGACAAGGGACTTACGTGTGGGCTGATGGAGTGAAGTACGAGGTAAAGTGCAATTTAACTTACAACTGAGCACAATTACAGTGAGTTGTATGTGCAAATTCAAGGAATGTGGATTGTTGCAGTAATTGGTACAGTATGGGTGGCAACTGCAGAACTATGGCAGTGATTTCAATCACAAGCCTGACTTCTCCCAGATGGTTGGGGAACAGTGAGTCTTAGTTTTTTAAATGTTGTAATTTAATCTTTTAGGGAACATTTGTTAAGAATGTGCAGATGTTTAATGGCCGTTATACATGGAATGATGGCAGCGTTTATGAAGGATCAATTAAGAATGGAGTTAGGCATGGATTTGGATTTTTCAGGAGTGGTACTCATCCTGTTTCTTACATTGGCTATTGGTGTAAAGGCAAAAGACATGGAAAGGTAAGTAAGAGCACCAAATGAGAGCATGGTCTTGGGTGACTACCTTCTAGAACAGCAAGCAGTCTTGTGGAAAGGTTTTGCAAAAATGCTTTGTGCCGTTGCATGGTCTTATGCTATGTAGAGATCTGTTTTTCCTAAGGATCTTCTCTGATCTTAGATGTGATTGCTAATTAAAACAAATGGGATGGGATCTTGTTTGTAGTGGAGGAGATGAACGGTATCCTAAAAGAGTATTTGGCCTATTGTGTGGTTTGTCCTTTATGCTGCTCCAGGTAGGTGATGACAAAGTCAAAACTGACGACTGCATCAGTAGCTGTGTAACAATGACAGAACAATTAGCTTCCCAGTAATGACAAGTTGTGATTGCTAATTAAAACAAATGGGATGGGATCTTGTTTGTAGTGGAGGAGATGAACGGTATCCTAAAAGAGTATTTGGCCTATTGTGTGGTTTGTCCTTTATGCTGCTCCAGGTAGGTGATGACAAAGTCAAAACTGACGACTGCATCAGTAGCTGTGTAACAATGACAGAACAATTAGCTTCCCAGTAATGACAACATGATCCTGCCTCCCAAATGCGTTAAGCAGACCAAGTATGATAATTACAATTAAGACTGCCTTATCTAGTGTAAGTAACATCTAGTTCCAACATTTTAAAGGCAAGTGGTGCTTTTATGTGTCTCCGTTTTGTTCATCCAGATTGAGACACTCTTCTGGGCCTGACATTTTGAAGACCGATGCTCAGCATGTGAGGAAGATCCATTCTAATCACATGGGTTTTTGTTCTGTGTCACTAATAAGACACTAAAATCACCCAGGCTGCTGTCGATGGTCACCAGTGCAATGGTCTGTCCAGTTTGTTCTGAGAGGAAGCTATCAAATAGAGAAAGACAGCACAATTAACACTGTAGACCTACTGTTGGAAGTTGAATTCTGAATGTCAGAAAACTGATCTACATCAGAGTGACTGCTGTGATTAAGTTGCCAAAGTTAACTCTCTGAAAGTATTTCCAAGGGGTTTGAAAAACATGAGACTTTGACGTAATGTAATACAATTTTTTTATTTTTTGTTTGAACACTTGGTCTTTTTAAGGTCTTAACTAATATTCATCAAAAGAGGTTGCTTTTTATTTAATTTTATCACTTCAGTTGCTTTCAGTACAGTGTCTCGAAGTGACTAGAAGTAAGACTGTGATTACATGTGTCTTGCGTAATTTGTATGCGATGTTTTATTAATGTAGATGAATATTTAGGTATTTAAATTGACCATACTGTTTGTTTCAGGGTACCATTTATTATGATCGGGATCATACCTCTTGGTATTCAGGCGACTGGGTAAATAATGTCAAAGAAGGATGGGGAATGAGATGGTAAACGTGATAACACTTGTTTTTATCTTCATATTTTTTTATTTTACATGTATTATCATACAGTTTCTCCCATTGTTTAAAATGGATACAAATGCTACCATTTCATAGTAGTGTGTACTTTCTGCAGTGGAATAAATAATTGTATGAAGTGCTTTATAATAATAAAATAGACCTCTATAGCTTACATTTTTATGTTGGTATATTTCTGCTGATCATTTGCACAAAAGAATGTCTAAAGACAAAATCCAAAATCAGCTTTGGAAAAAAACAAATCAACATTTAAAAACAAATAAACACAATTTATTTGACCAGATGGAGCTGCTTTCACGAATAAATGAATTATTTGTGGAATTATATATAAAAGAATATTTTGATTAGCTATGGTGAAGACTCTTTGGGGAAAAAAAGAACTGGTTAATATTTTTATAGTGATTTGTAAGTTAAAAATAGGAGGTAAACAGTGGGTACAATCAAACCTCTGTATCCATGTCACAGTGAGCCAACGTTCAAATTAATGCTTATATTTAGCATTAATAAATGCTAATTTATTAGCAATTAAGTTTTGCATAAACCTTGCTTTCATAAGATCCACTCAGAATATACTATGAATGAGTCATTAACTTTTATTGTTTTCTTGCAGCTATAAGTCTGGAAATATCTATGAAGGTCAGTGGGAGAAAAATGTACGTCATGGAAAAGGAAGAATGAGATGGTTGACAGCTAATCAAGAGTATATGGGGCAGTGGGTGTACGGCATACAGGTACTAATTTCTTCCCCAGCAACCTGTTTAGTTCAGCATCTGTCCACTACTCTAGTAAAACTAGATAGGGAGTTTTGTGTAATATCAAATGACTTTGTATGATTTTTGCCAGTTGAGATAGCGGAAATATGCTGTTTATTGTAAGTTGATTCTCATGTTAGCAAAATTAAAATTTTTAAAAGGCTTTTGACTTAGTCTTACAAAATCATAATGTAATTGTCCAATGGAAAAGATAAACTTTTTTCATTAAAAAAAAAGTTTAAAAAGTTAAATGTTTGTGACTATACTTAGCTTGAGATATGACTTCAACAGTGAGTATATGTGGCAATTTGCTTCTGTGTCATCTGTAAAATATTAGACAACCCTGTTCTCTCTTGTAAAAGTTTTATGATGGAAGGAGAAGATTTCTGGCATTTTCTGTTCCTTCCGTTTATTATTCTGTTGGAAAAAGAATGTGAGCTACTTCCTCTGTCTCTTCACTCTGCATAAAATTGTCAAGGAGTCCAGCTTCTGGAACATTGTGGCTCGCTCTCTGGCATGGTGTTCCTCACCTGGCTTGTTCAGCATTACAGTCAGAAGGATTCAGGCAGGAAGGATGTCTTCAGGAGTCCTGTTGGTAGAGCTTGCTCAAGTGTGTGTTGATTCGGTGTATCCTCTGGGCGCTTCTCCCATGCACCTTTGTAGAATACGGTTCTATGGATGATTTGAAGTACTGCAGCTATCAACTGAGTGCTTTTATTTGAGAGATTTGCCAACAGTGACTCTTAAAGATGCCTAGGTGGTTCTCCTTTTTAAAAGTCTGGACCTGTAGCAACTGTAGCTCTTCTGGAGATGTTTGTTGTTTGTTTGTTTGTTTTAAACACACAAATTTTTTTCAGCATGGATATGGCACCCACATATGGTTTTTGAAAAGAATGCCTGCGTCTCAGTATCCCTTAAGGAATGAATACATAGGTGACTTTGTAAATGGGGAACGACATGGACATGGGAAGTTCATATATGCCAGTGGAGCAGTGTATGATGGTGAATGGGTTTGTAATAAGAAGCATGGCAAGGTGAGTATTGACAAGTAGTAAGAAAAAACTACAGACAACACCAGAGGAGACTATTCTCCTCTGTGTAGTGGATCTCTAGATTTCTGTACAGAAAACTACATTCAATTTGGATTGTGGATGGAATCCCAACATAAAGGGCAGAGTCCGCTGAAAGCAGTAGGAGTCCTTCCAAGGACCTTGCTGGGCCACAGATAGGTCTCTGTGGTTAGATGTGTGTTTGTGTGTATAAAGAAATACATTTTACTGTGGAGATTTTCAGGTGCATCTTGATTTTTTTTTTTAATTTTTTTTTGCAGTGGTTGGTCAGTACTCTTATACTATGAGTTAACGGATTTCAAGCTGTCCTTGCACAGAGATGTTCTCACGTTAACAGACTGTTTTAAAAAAATCCGTGAGTGGAGTGCCACATATGCAAACTAAAGATTGCAAACAAGGCTTTCTATGTGTGTGTGGGGAAATGTTTTTTCCTCAAAATACTTTTCAAAATTAAACAGATATATAGGCAATTCTTCATCCCAGCAGTGTACTTTAATTAACAAATGACAAAGTACTTTATAAAACAGGGTAGGAAAAATTATTTTGCTTTATTTTATCTCATATATTGCATTTTAGCCAAGATTCTTAAAAGGAAATTTGATGGAGAGCATTACAGTTATTTTTTTTGATCTTTGATTTATATTTATATTGAAATTAATCTGTCTGTAGGGCAAGTTTGTCTTCAAGAATGGTCATGTTTATGAAGGAGAGTTCATAGATGATCATAGAGTAGAAGATCCTGCTTTTCGAGTGGATGCAATGAATGCAAAAGAGCTGAATGCCATTTGCACAGGAAGTCATTTTGGCACTGGTAAGCAGCTTAAGAAAACAAATTCTACACAGTTCACACTTTGTTGTTCCTTTTTATTATAATGTGAAGCTGTTCATACTTACTCAAGAGCCAGACATATTTCTTCAAAGAACTTTAATGAAGATGAGTTATCTTAATAATTAATGACTTTTGCTCCCATGCTTCTTGTTTCCTGTGCATGACACTTGAATTGAGTGACACATCCACACTACATCATGTAATGCTTTTTGAACACTGCTGTCTGGAAGCTTCATAACCTATGTAATATGTGCATTTCCTTTTGGCTAGGGGTTGGATTTGACAAAATTACTCTTCAGTTGTTATGCTGTTGATTATGAAATCTCTACTCCTTGCTGTAAAGGAGTCTATTATTCTCACTTTGAAGTCAGTAAGATAAGAAGGAATAACATATGTTTTATTTTCCCTGTGTGTGTGTATATACATTTTTAACTTCATTTTAATTTGTTCTAATTTATTTTATTTGCATGGTAGAAAATGTCACAATCATTAATGGCTCAGAAAATACTTCTATTCTGGGATCAAATATTGAGTTGGATATATCTTCACTGCTTGACTTGTTGCCAAGGGAAGAGAGACCTGAAGAAGTGAAACAAGTAAGAGCCTACTGTTTGATATATTCAGTTTTCCCCCACAGTGTGTTTCATATTATTTTATTTCTGGTTTATTTGTATTAAAGTAACTCCTTCCATTAAAGAATTATTTGAAAATCTGAAGGCCATGAAAACAGAAGAGCAAAAAGAATGAATAGACAGTATTGCCTCTTCCTGAGCTTCCGCTAGAAGACAATAAAAAAGATGTTAACGTATCTGGAAGGGCATTCAGCAACTACCTTTAGCTACTGTGAGGTTTGTCTGCTGACAGACTAATTTATTTTTATCAGTAACCAAAAAATATGTATTATAACTACATTTGAGTAACGTTCTCATGAACACTTAACCAGGGATATGCTCTTCGAAGTTACAAGATCAAAAGCATTATATGCCCAGTTACAGGATCGATACAAGCTGATCCCTACTTGCTGTGAGACAATGCTGAAATCATATCCTGCTTTATTTAGGTAGAATTTGCTGTGTTGAGGCACATTACAGAACTGAGAAGAGTTTACACCTTCTACAGCGGCTTAGGCTGTGAACATTCTCTTGATAACACCTTCCTCATGACTAAGCTCCAATTTTGGAGATTTCTGAAGGACTGCCAGTTTCATCACTCCAACGTAACTCTTGCTGAAATGGATCGGATATTGAGTGGTTTGTATTTCTGTTGATTGGTGTCTAGAATCTAGGAATTTTAATAGTAAGCTGTGGAGAGTTGGAGTGGCAAGTTCTACTGATAGCTCAACTCTGGTAGTTAAGTGGCCCTGAGTGAGTACCTCTGTGCCTGTGATTTCTCAGTGGATGCATTAACACTTCTCCAGGTACTTCAGGTGCTTAGGTGGGAAAATGCAAAATTAAAATACCGCTTAAAAAGTTGTTCTAAAGAGCCATCTGTTCAAAAATTGTATTCACCCCTGGTCTTGCCATTACTATTACATGCAGTTTTAAGAGATCTGAGAAAGATAAGTAGAAGAAACAAATCTTTTTCTTCTCATCTCCTCCCCCTCACCCCCAGTGCTCTTAACTTTGGTTTGCATGTAGTATTTTTTTTTTCTTCCATAGAGACAGTTAATCAGTTGGTTCCATTTAGACCTGCAGTGGGATGCACTGCAGTGTCCCTAGTGTCTGAAGGGTTTAACTCTAACTTTGCTTCCCCTTTCATTCCTATATGCTGAGTGGATTCATGTCTAGAACAAGAGAATTTGTTAAGATTCACCTATAGGCGAACAGTTCTCCCTTGACCTGCTTGTTTGGAAGTGATACTGTCGTCTGATTCTTCCAGGAGTGTTGTTACGCTGTGATAAGTAGAGATGGAGAGGATAAGAAAGGCTGACAAGTCGATATGCCTATAAGCCTTTTAATGTACGATAGCAATAGAGATTTATTTTGTCAAATTTTTTAGGTGATAAAACACCACTTGAAGAGATTCATTGTCCACATGAGACTTTACTGTTCAGAACATTTTTATCTTACCTTGTTCGTCTAGCATTTCATATCTATCATGAAGAGCACAAGTAAGTTTAATCTTTTAGTGAAATTTATTTCAGTGTAATCAGTTTGAGTCTTCCCAGACCAAGAGTATTTTTGTTTCAACTGTAGAGAGAAAGGTCCTTATCTGCATAAGTGTTTCTTAGAAATGATGTCCAGGAATGTGATTCCTGCTGCCTGTTGTATCCGAGGTAAGTAATGGTATTTCTTCTGCGCTGTGCAGAATTCATCAATTAGTACTGCATACCTCACAGTTTTATTGTAACTGTTATTTTTTCCCAATTAATTTTTAAAGGTATCCTATTTTCTGAAAAACAATGTACAGTTTTTGCTATGAGCTACATTGACAAATGCTGGGAAATATACAGAGCTTTTCTTAGACCAAGTACCAGACCTCCATTTGAACCCACAATGAAAATGAGGCACTTCCTTTGGATGTTGAATGTAATAATCTTTTTTTTTTTTTTTAATTTCGTGTGATTAGATGCACTTTATTTGTTCAGTTTATATAAGCATTTTAAAATACTCCCTGTGGCTTCTGCACAGTTGAAAAGGTAGGAGCGATGTAATTTGTACAAACTGTCCAACAAACATTAGAGGGACAGTTGTTCTATAGAAATTATTTATGTACTTTTGCAGGATTGAATTCTGATTTTGTACTTGATAATTTCAAATAATCAAATATTACACAAATGTGTTTTAAGGGAATATAAATGTTTTTGCTGGCTTCCCCTCCCCACCCCTATCCTGTAAAATGTATATATGAAAATGTCTTACTGGTAGAACTCAAAGACTGGCAGCTTTTGGAATAACACAGTAAACCATTTTAATAATGTATTAATATACTGTAAGATGAACATGAGATTCTTTACTAAAATTCAGTAATTCAGGGACAGATCAGGATTACACTGAAGCTAGGGAAAAATTAACATTGATATGCCTGGGTTTTGGGTTACTGTCACTGTTTAAATCCAAGCCTTTTTTTCATGAAAAAAACCTAATAAAAACTAATAAAAATACCAGATGGCAAAATTGTAATTTTTTAAATATTTTTATTTATGAGCTTTCACAAGTTCTTTCTTAACACTGTTTTTGCAGTCTAGGAAAAATTCCCATTGACTTCAGTAGGGCCAGAACGTCACTCTGTCATTAATTACGTATGTGGAAGTATCACTTGAAATGACTAGAAATTTTGACACAGGCTTTAAAGGGAGGTAGATTAGGTCTATGTGGGAATACCTTAAGTGCTGTTAACATGTAACATTTACTCTTACCCAGGATTTTAAACTTCTCAGTAAACAATTAACTGCTTCAAGAATTGTGGAAGTACTTGTCAAAGATGGTCCCTCTCTACATGATAGCAGTAGTACCAACCTGGAGCAGGAGGTCTGTATGGAAAAAAAACATGTCATAGTTCATGGCTACAGGAACAATTAAAATTACTTTAAAAAAATGCTGCAAATACTGTCCTATCTGCTAGAACAGGAGGAAAATGAATTAATCTATTCCAAAAAAATAAAGAGTACAAACTTGAGCCTCTATTTTTGCCTTCCTTTGTTCTGCCTGTATCTTCTAGTTTAGCTCATGTACTTCTGTTTTGCTTATTCTCTTACCCTTCTTAGTACAGTCTCGGCGTACCTGACCATACAGATAACTCCTTAAGAGTGCCGTAACACAGAGGGTGAAATACTATTTCTAGGAGACTGCTGCTAGTAATAGTTCTGTCTGTGGGGCAGTTGCCTGACAATATGTGTATACAGTGATTATGCAGGGATGAATCTCAGCACTTCCAGCTGCTGAGGTGTGCACTGGAAATGGGTCAATAATTAAGATGTGAACCCACTGATCCTTGAAAATCTGGTGATCCAAGAAATCTGATTAGTGACGTGTGAAGTGCTGCCACCTCAATGAGGTCGAGTAGTGACTGTAGAAGACTCTTGTGCCACCTGACAGCTGGCCTGCTATAGAGGGCCTTCACCCTTAAAGAATTAGCTCTTACTCAGTGACGGCCTATTGTAAATGACATACTTGAATTTATTGTTTTAAACAGTTTCTGATAAACTGAAGACACAGTCTAAGTCTTACTAAGGGATTCATTATACACCCATTCTTAGGGTTTCTGGAAGCATCGTATGCGATTAAACGTTTTAGGTAATAGCAATAAATGTGTGTTATTTGTTTGAGAAATTTCTCGTAACTCCACATACAGCAAAAATCTATGCAGTATTCTATTTCAGTATGACTTGTGTAAGGCGTAACACAGTATATCACTTCCTGAATTTTTTGAGCTTTGGCTGTTTTCAATTTTTCTTCAGAAGAAGGGATGTTTGAGTAGATAAATGAGGCCAGTGAGGCTTCACAAACAATCACTTTTGAGTTCTTTGCTTGCTCAGGTACATATGACCATTAATGAAGGGATTTTGCAAAAACGAATGAATTAATCACTGTGTTTGTTTTACTCTAGTTGGTTTTTCTTGAATTTGTTGAAGCTCTTCTTCATTGTGCATTGGTGTATGTTACCAGTGATATGATTAAGGAGCAAGTAGATCATGATCATCAGAAAAGAATTAGCTTTAGAACCAAGGGTCTCTCCGAGGGAACCACAAATGTGTCTCTGTACCCAGAATATTGTTTGTCCCAGGTAACATTTATGCAGACCTGTTAAATATTATTCTATGTCTACGTAGAGAGCAAAGTTGGGCCCTGTGAATGTTCTATGTTTCCTGAACATAGAAACGAATTTCTTTTTTTTGCATAAACAGTCATTTGATTGGGTCCTTCTGCTTTTTCTGTTTCTTGCTACCTTATATTGTAACATCAGTATAGACAGTTTTAACACACTTGCACATTTTCCTAGATAACTATAAGTACACATAAAGTACTTGCAAGTCTTCTGGTGTTCGAAGGGGAATTGACAAATTGGTTGACTGGAAGATATGCCTCTCCTGCTTTAAGTTGAATGTCTAAAATAGCCCTGTAAAAACGGCTTTGCAATTGTTGTATGTAGCAAGACTTGCTATTTCCCAGCAGTTAAGCTATGCTCTGTTTTTGCTAAACTATTGAATAAGGATTGTGTAGGTTGTAAGATGCTGCCTGTGACACTGGTGCAATTTAGATGCACAGGGTAGTTGAAGGCATGACTTACAATTGTTATTATTTGGAATTATGCACAAGATGAAAGTATTTTTATTAATTCAAAGAGCATTCACAAACACCTAATTTCACAGTCTCTGTAAGCCAGTAGTGCCACTGAACACCACCACTTCCCATTCTCTGGCCAATTGTTCCCATCCTATGGAACCCATTCCCTTGCATCACTGCAAGCATTAATGCAGTTGCACAGTGAAATGGTCCTGTTATAATAGTCAGATTTTACAAGACTAAAAGAAAAACTTAATTTGAAATAGTGAACGTAAAATTCTTCTTGTGTTTACTTTTTATTAGTACACTTACAGCAGAAGTACAATTGATACGCACATGAACGATGACATTTCCGAGGCAGCTGAGCTTTACGCTTGTTCATCATTGTCTCCAAGCAAAAATGTCATATCACAAGATGAAATAAAGAAACATGAGGTATGTAAAAAGCCCACACTGAAAGATGGAGCAGAGAGTTTGCAATTCACGGGTGACAGAGTAGCCAAGGTAGTTTTAAGTTTTGAAAAGGGCTAGAATTTCACCTAATATTAAATACAATGTGTTCCTATGCCTGGATCCATGTGTGAGCCTAGAAGGAGTGCATTTCCATTGCTAACAAAGCATTTGCTCCCACACATACTCTCAGCTATTGTTATTTAGAATATTTGGTGGTATCTTCTACATTAACTAAAACAGTGGTGAATAAAGCTACTGTTTTATCTTTATTTGCAAGGTAGGGAGTGAGAGGCTGAGAAGTGGGCAGAGAGATTTAGAAGCACTGGGGAAAGTAACTAATACAATTCTGAAAACACTTTTCAGAATTCTTCCAGCAAACTTTTCACCTTCACTGCCTTTACAGTTTTGTACCCAGTGTATGACTATAATGAGATTCCAAGAAGAAAAATGGATTGTCTTACCCCTGTGATTTCAGGGTAAGATAGTAAGGATTATTGTTTTGTACTGGAATTGTGGAAATCGGACAGAGAATTTGGAAAGTTCCTGACTTTTAGAAAATATACCAACACTTAGAAAACAGAATTGTGTTTGACCTGAGTCTTTGTGAGACTTTTACTGTCACTTATCTGAAAAGACTGGCATCATCAGGCTGCAGAAGATGCTTGGGATGACAGCTGGAAAGATTTCAAAGCATCCTTCTCGGATATACTCTTGAATGTTGTTCTCTCCTTTTCACTCAATATAATTCCTGGAGTGTATTCCTATAGTCAGGAATAGAAATTCATTATTGTTTCCTCAGGAGCAGATGAATAATAGTATGTAGAGTAACATGTAAGAACAGAGGGACATGTCTAAGAACAGGAGCTTTCATTCTCTGTACTTCTATCTTTGCCTAGCTCTGAAATCGGATAATCCTACTTCCCTGGCTGGTATCAAGGCTAAAGTGTTACGACCAATTTACTAATACTTGGAAGTATGAAACACTATTGCAATTTAAATGTTTTGAAATAGGCATAATTGCAGAATGCATTTGGTTGGCAGAATGCTTTGGAGATAGGAATTTGCATGACTCAAATGGACATGTGATTTCACTTCTTAATTTGAGCACAAGCCCAGGCATTTAGTAACTGAATTTAAAACTTCTTGCCAGCCACTGAGACCTTGTGAAGACAGAGGGCATCCTCTTCAAGAATTTCTACTGGGTGAGTACTGTGGTTACCATAAGCATCTATAAACAGTGGTGCTAGAGGAGATTCACTCTTTCTACAACTTTAAAGATGATTAAAACAGTAGTTGATCATTGAAACAGCTGGATGTATTGCAATTACAGAGGGTAGCTGCATTCAGTTTGGCAATTATGACAAGGTTTGTGTTTAGCTTTCCACACCTGCTATACACAGATAGCTGGGCAAGTTTGAATCTCTGAACTTTTTGTGCTTTTTAATTAGAAGCTATCAATCACATTTTCCTTAAAAATAACTTAAAGGCTTCTTAAAACTAAATTCTTCCTGTTCTGTCCCACTCATTTGGGCATGGAAACAGGAGATTGAACTCTGCACTGTGCTTTCATTATAAACAAACTTTTCCTGAGTACAGAACTATTTCAACCACAGGTCTAGCTGTAAGGTCGGATGACAATTTATATTTGTTTGTGTTGAAGATCAAACCTGATATTTAATGCACAGAATTACAGACTGAGTAATTTTAATTTTCTTTCTTTGCAATATCAGATACTGTCCTCTCATTTCACACAACTCACGGAGATATCAAAGATGTTCTGTCATTTTTCAGCTGGGATGCAGAAAAAGAACAAGATTTCTGTCCACCAAACGAATTGACAGGTAAAGCAGTCCTACTGTTTTAAGACTAACACAAAAAAAATAACTTGTAGCTCTTGAATTGCAAAATCTTAATTGTATATGCAGATTTCAGCTTGTCACAAGAGGGCAGTAAATGAACATTAATTCTGGAGGAAGACTAAAGAAAATTTTTAAAAGATTTTTTTAAAGAAAATGAAACTTAGTAATTAAGTGAGATGTTTAAGTACTGACTTAAATAGTTTGCCCGATTTTAAAATGCCGCATTTTGTTTGTAGGGCATCTATAAGCTGTAATGTGTATTTATGAGAAGCTCTATCTGCAGGCCTGCCCATTTTTTTTTTTTAATGCCTTGGACAAATAAAAGATACTACTGCTATGTCTTGCTTCTTTTACTTAGTATAAGAATTATTATTAATGGTGTGCCACCATTAGCTGGGATGAGATGTCTTATGTTATGACAGGCCAGCATTCATGCAGAAGATACATCAGTAAGAGCACTTTCATGTTAGTCTAGTAACCTTTTTATACAGTCTCCCTTCTGGCTGATTAGTAGATCTCATCTGGGTTGTTTTTTGGGCTTGTTAAATGTTTTCTACAGATAAAGAACCCAAATCCAAGAACGTAAGTAGACAAGGATCTTTGTGTAGTCATCAGCTCTTTCACTGAAATCTGATGACTGAAAAGTTACAGGTCTGAAAAAACACAGTTTCTTAAAGAACCAGCAGATGGGCCCTAGCCTATTTTTTGGCAGGCATGACAATGGGATGCTTGCATGCAATTCTCTTCTTTCAGGTAGTCATGTTCGTTCCTCCAATTCCCCCATGCACAGGAGTCATGGATAATGAACTGTCATCAGACTACTGCGAAGACATTTTATCATAGGATTAAAGGGGAAAGTTCATATTCTTTTGATGCCATTCCCAGGGACAAGTCACTCTAAAGATCCACAAAAGGGCCATCCCCTTTCACATGCACCAATTAAAAGTTTCTCACAGTTGTCATCTTCTGTAGCAGGCAGAAGCCAGACTTTCCCATTGCAGAGTATCAGGTCTGAAATACTGTAGTCAAAAACACATTTGAAATGTAAGTTCCCTGCTAAATAACATGTTTAATTTACATGTTGCAGATGAACCAAAAGAAGCCAAAACTGAACAAGATGAGGAATTTAGTCTGTGGATGTGTCAGGTGCGAATCTTTTTTACAACTAAGTTTTTTCCTGCCTACCAGCATGAAAAAGTGCTGAGTGAAAAAATAAAAGAAAATCGAATACAGGATGCTGAATTAGCTGAGCTGAGAAAGATCAAGGATGAGGAGTTGGCAAAGTGAGTGTTCTATCTTACCTTGAAGTAGTTCTCTCATCTTCTACTAACAAAATTACTGAAAATGAGAAGTGTGCTTTAATGAAGTAGTATAGCATACTGTAACTGGGAAAACAAACTCATCCAGATATAATAAGCAACATCCAGAATGTAACTCGTGACTTTTATTACTGTTGGGATTAACAAATACAGGCTGCTTTCAGGTTACAGAACTCTTAACTCTCTGATATTTCCTGGCACTTGAGCCCTGCTCTGTGTAAAGGCAGGTAAGACTTTTTTTTTTATACATACCATAAGTCAGACTTGAAGTGGTAACTAGACAGATCTGCTTCTCTACAATATGCCAGTTTATACTGCTCATACTGTGAATATAGCTGTAGTTGCTTAGCCAGTATAAATTTGTCTCCCCCTCTTGCAATACATTAAATTTAAACTTTGTTCACTCAGACTTATTGCTGGAAGAGAAGCAGAAGAGGCAAAAAAGCAAGAAGCAGGTGCAGCAGAAAGAACATTTGACTCCAAGAGTGCAGATTTTAAGGAGTTAGAGGAGCCTGTCACACACTTAGTACCCCCTCCGAAGGAAGAGGCACCCTTTGTAGTACCCCCAGTTGTTACCAAGGTGCCTGCTGGCAAAAAGAGAAAGAAGAAATAAATCTTCTGATGAGAACTACTGAAGCTTCAAGTAAGTAAGTACTCTTTGAATAAGAAAAAAAACCAAAAGAACCACATGTGCAGTAAGGTTTAAAATACAAGTACAATAAAGCTGTATGTACAAGACTTGTTGGTTTCAGAGGGAAACTGTCTGCTCTTACACCCAGGGTCTTGGGAAAGAGAATATAGTAATTTACATGAGTGTAACCCTTTCAACAAACCTATTCCAGAAGTCAATATTTGACTTGTACCTAAAAATTCCCTTAGTGTTAAGCTGGTACAAGAACTGGTATCTTGTCATGATTGTATGTCCCAGTGAAATGGTTTCTACTTAAAACATGTTTATGTGCAGTATTTCAGTCAAATAAACCAAGTATGTAAGAATTTGACAAATCATGTAAATCAGGCTGAAGCAGGAGCTGCAAAGAACAGGTCAGCCTAGAAGGTTCTTTGTTTAGGGGTCTTTTGTAACCAGCCTAGTTTCACATTGTAGAAAATCAGCAGAAAGTCACACGATGATGCAAATGAACACAGGAAAACAAAATATGCTCTTAAAAGTGTAACAATTATTAGTTTTATTTTCCAGTAAAATATTCACATAACAGTATCCGAATGGAATGGTACAGATGAATTCAGACTGATTTTTAATTAGTTTGCACATAAACATTTTTAAAATCTAAAAATTTTATGATCCGAGTTTACAGATTTTAGTAGAAATTTTGATTCTTACAAAGCAAGTATTGCTTTACTATTGTCATTATTCCAGTCAATAATATGACTAATAACTTTTCATGTTGAACAAGTGTCTGACATTGACATCTTCAATAAATCAGCCCTTTGCAGATCAATCCAAGAAGAAAATATTATTAAACTGTGTTGCACAAAGTTTCTTCACTTCTTCTGTAAAAAATTAAAAAAGATATTTTATAGGAACCTCTGCAAAGAAAAGGGGATCATCAAGGAGAATTTAATTAAATTCAAACAGAAAAAAACCCTAGGAGTTTCTAATGTAGAAATAAACTTAATTTTATTCTGTCTTCAGTAAGAGAAAGTTGAGTCAAGTCTGATACTTCCCACTGTCAGAAAGATGAGTTGTATTCAAAGTGGCTAAAGTGTAAATGATGGTTTGAGTTTGCTGCTGGGCCATTCATCTTGTCAAACTTCTACATTGCAACAGCAGAAGACTTAGCTTCAACACAAGGAAGTATATTGTAACCCCTTTTCAGGGTTAGTGTAGTCTGCTAAAATAAATCAAGTCAGCAAAACTTTTGCTTTGTGCTATTTGGCAGACAACACCTTGGCGATAGCAGTACTTCCTAAGTTTATCAGGCACAGAAACACTCATTTACTGTTTCTGTATATGGCAGGTTTGATCCTGAAAGACAATTAGAAATCATTGTGTAAGTCATGGAACTCACTCCTCTTTTTAATATTTAGGTTGCTAGGCTTTGGTCTTGGAAAAGTATTAATTCTTTCCCATCATCCAAGTGAGCACATTGCCTCCTATTAAAACAGAGAGCCCTAGAATTGCTGCAAGACTCAAACTCATTTCTCTTAGTCTATTTAAAAGCTTATTGCATCTTCATGTTAATTTGCACTCAGTCATAGTAAATCATTCTCAAAACAGCATTAAAAACAAGACAACAATGGAATGAGGATCACTGACAGGACAGACATTATGTGTAAGTAACCTACCCATGGATCATTGACAAATAAAACTTAACTCTGATGTAAATATGTTCATCTCTCACCTGTAATACACTTCATTAATTACTCCTAAACTAAGCTCACAGAGCTCTCCTCTATTATTTGAAGGAGGAAGAATGACTGATTAATAATTAAGAATGTCTGCTGAATATTTATGCTGTTCTTTTATAGCTGGTAGAAGGCAGACTAAAACCTTACGCAAACTTATCTGGTCTATCATAGATCAATTCCTCTCTAGATTTCTCGTGAGATGGATTTTATTACTTCTCCAGGGACATACATTTTAGTAGTAACTGTATATAAAGGTAATAAAAAACCAATCCTTACCGTTAACTTCAATCAGATTTGCATTTTTTTGATTCAAAATAACATACAGTTCTCGCTGGTCAGACTTTTTCCCAACTACCCAGTAATCACTCATTGCCTTCACAATAATTTCCTCATCTTCATCAATTCTGAAAGAAGTTTTAGAAAGTAAAGGTGGCAGCAAGTTCATCTTCAACAACTTTATTTGTAATTATTAGGACAGCTTAACGTCATAAATTGTTGTGGTTGTGCAGTATCAAAGAGAGACTACCTATACTAACTTAGATATAATTCATCATTCAAGGATGGAAGGCTTCATAAATGGCTGCTTAGGACAATTACGTCCCCAGATGAGTAAATCATTAATTTGTCCATCAGCCAAATGCTCCAGTGCTCTGAAGATGACACCTATCCTCCATACTGTTAAGGACACACTTCACAGAATTATGATTTGCTACACAGTGACCAAATAATGAAAGTTGGAGATGGTATGGTGATATTAAGCCTTCACATATCTAATTGTTAAACCTAGAACTAGACCATGTGCAACAACTAGATATATTACATAAAGCTGTCACTAACCCAGTACTTCCACAATATGATGAAACATTCTTTTTTCATTCATAGAAAAATGAAAACCTTGTCCTTAAGCAGAGTGGGAAAATTGCTAGTCGCTAATTAGAGCTACAGACATTACAATAATTGAGCATTTTCATGTTCTTTATTAATTTTTATAGTGACAGAGGGTCTCTTCCACCTTGAAGCATGATACCCATTGACTAGAAGCCAATTATCTTCTCTATCAGCAGTATTGTAGTAACTGCAAGGTTTACATTTCATCTATTGTCTAAGCCCTAAAAGCAGCCAGCTGTTTCAGAGGAGGGTATAATATAGGCAGAAGCAGGTTTCCCTGTCCTTTACACTACTTATCCAGAGATTAAACAGACAAGTGCAAAAGCACTAGGCTTCACATCACTTCTAAGTTTGTTATGGCTACTCTGAAGTTTCAGATAGATTAGATATTTTCTTGGCTAGAGGCTCTGGCCCTTCTTTAAACTATTTTTTTAAAAGGACAATAGAAGTTTTGTTTAAGACAGACTACTTCTAAGCCAACAAAAAATACCAAATATGACCCATGTTACACCATTTATCTCACAGAGCTATGACTAACCATCCATGAACAAAAAGACATAAAAGCTTCACTCATTTGAAAAAATCTGCTTGACAGAAGGAGTTACAGACTATTTGATAGTTAAGCATTACCTGGAGAAGTCACTGTTGATATCACCGAGAATCTTCATGAGATCAGGGTGAACAGATGCAAGTGATACACTGGGCGTTTTCCTCATGTGAATGGTACTTTTCTCTGCCAGGTTCATGTGATTGAAATAGATAAACTTAAATTGAGGCTCCTTCTCAGCCCTAGGAAGATTTTTTAAAAAAAATGTGACTTGTGAATACTGATATGTTCTATAAGCACAGGCTTCACAGAGAACAGATAACTAGCCGGTGCAAAGCTTACTCAGACATCCTGAAGTTATCTTCCCATTGAAGAGACCAAGTACATTAAGACTTGCAGCATGATCAAACTTCATTTTAACACTTTAAAAAAAAAAAAAAGAAAAAAAACCCCAAGCCTGCAAAACCAACCAGTTTTTCCCCTTCTGCTGCTTAGGCTGCTAAATAGACACAGGGCAGTCTAAAGGCCTTGTCCCACTTCCCAGTAGTAGTTTGCATTTTTCTAATGAGCTGTTTTTTCTCTGTCCCCATTTTGTTTCCTTGCTCCCCTATGCCAGTCCAAGCTGGTTTGAATGGATGCTAGGTCTTTAATTTGATTAATAAGTAATCTTCCACTCACGTCTTTGTTACAATCAAAAGAAAGAACTCTTCCCCCCATCATTTGTGTGGGCCAGTCAAGAGACTATTTTCAAACTCCTGCCTTGGCAGTATTCTTCCATTTCCTCTTTTATTAAGTTAATATAAAATCTGTCACTTAGAGCTGTAGTTTTGGTAGAAGTCACAACAAATGCAGACTGGCAAAGACTGGCTATAGCAATTGGTACTTCAGGCTATGTATTATTTAGAATCAGGGAGATATTGTGATGACACCACTCACCTCGCAAACAACTAGATACCCTTGCTCTCTGTCACCCAGATGCATTAGTGTCAAGAAACTGTATCATGTTTTCAGGACACCATGGCATTAAACTTTAAAAGAGTTAAAGCTGCCAAAGCCGGTCCCAGATGACATTAAAAAACCCCCAAGTTTAATGATTTAGTAGATCGGCACAATTTCAAGCACATCCTATTCTATACCCTGTGATTTTGCTGATTTGCTGTGCTACCACTAAATAAGTTCAGTCACACACCTATCTTTGGTTTAATTCCTCTTTTGTTGTCATATGCGATGCTGTTGTTGCTTCCCCAACTAACAAAAATAAAAACAATTTTATGGGAAGTCAGCTATAGTTCTAAGTGAAGTGTATTTTCCAAAGCATTAACATCCTTTTTCATTTGACCTTTTTTTGCCCCTCAAGTAGTTACCTTAGTCCTGCAAAATAGAAAAAACAAGGCAGTTTCTTCCTCACCTACTATACACAGCAACACTTCAAGAAGCAGTAATTCTGGAAAAAAGTACTCAACTGTAAAGCTTGCATTGTAACCAAATAATCCACTTACTAAAATGCCCATTTCAAACTGTTAAACAAAAGTTGTTCTCGTATCCAGACCTTCATTTTCCTTTTGGATTTGTAACAGAGTTAAGAGTTACGTACACTCCATCCAAGCTATAAGTACTTGTGTCTAAGGCAATACTCTGAGCTAGTAGTGTCAGTGTCCACTTGATGTGAAAAATACAGTTCTTTTTTTAACATGATACAAAATAGCAGAAAGTCAAAGCAGAATTCAAAGGAAATCAGCACAAAGAAGGACGTGGGCACCAAGACAGTGATTTTTTTTTTTTTTAAATTCAAATGTTCTACTAGCCCAAGGGCTATTTGTGAACTTTATGAGATTCTGTTTTCCTCAAGAAAAGTTAGAAAGTATAAACTGAAGTTAAGATTTTGCAGGAACTGCTACTTCTCTACTTCAACATAGGGGACAGTGACAGAAGACTACCACTTCAGTTGGCATTTTTGCCATCTTGCATCTATTTCTGCAAGCACAGTAACCTGTAGAACTCATCATCTCCACGGGTCAGCTAGTTTCAGTTCACATATGAAAAAAGCAAAACCTAGAAGTTCCACCTCTTGTATCTGAATAATCTGCTAACAGCTGGGGGACCAGGCAGCAGAATCTCAATTGATAATAGAGAAATTTATCTTAATATTTACATGATTTTTTCTGCAACAATTATGCACAGAGAGGAAAAAGGTTTCAGCAGCCACACAATAAACATTCGTTCCTAAAATAGTAACATGTATGTTGTTACTTCAGGGAGACCTAAATATGCAACAACAGGCACTTTATAAATGCTTAAGATGCAGAAAGGTAGATAAACATTGGTTGAAGTACACAGTTAACTTGATGCTTTCAACATTTGGGCTCATGTTACTATTATTTAAGCAGTTCATTAAACCTACTTTTAACCAACTAATGAGGGACTGCAACGCGAACAGAAATGTGGTACCAACCCTGATATTCTCTTGTTGATGTTGTATTGTTCACATATGTCTGACGCTAACATGGTGAGTTGAGGCCCAACAATGCTGTCCAGTTTACGGCAAAACTCCAGTGTAGGCAGAATTGAAGCTAGGTGGTAGGTAAAGAAAAGGGAGAGATGAGATTCTCTTCCCACAGTTGAAGGTACAGTTTCTGTAGTTGCTTTCTTTAAACATCAGTGAGAGTCCTGGGACAAAATTTCTCTCTTAATTATAACCTTATGCATGATTTCGAAAGTGCATGGCTAACTGAAGCAATATTGAGTCATTTTGTTGTGTAAATTGAGTTAGTTATACCACTGAAACAAAAATCAAGACTGATAAAAGCACTCAGGAAGAACAGACTCAAATAACAACGTATTTTTCAAGAGTAAAACAAATTGCATGTAATAGCATTTTGTACTAACTATGTCTTCCCAAATAAGTGATGCTAATAGGTACTTACCATCAATCATAAAGCAGACAGCTGCACTCATGGCCTGGAACAAAAAAGTTAAAGCAAAAAAAACATTTACAACAGGTTACCTCAACTGCCTCAAATAAATGACAATACTTCAGTGAGGTCACACACAGGTAAACCAGTTAAATAAAGAAAAAATAAATCTAGTTTAAAAGGTAACACTTCAATAGGATAATCTCTTTGCAATCCTGCACAACACAGGATAGTTACGATTTTAAAATTCAGCACAGTTAACAGTTTTTAAGCTGTAGGGGAAAGGTAAAATTTGCTAAAAATGCATTTTATGCAAGGATATATGTCTGCAAGAAACTTGCATTTCATTTAAAAAAAAAATTAGTTTTTTTGTTTTATTGGTTAATGCTATATAAAGCCAGGTATGAAAGCACTTAAAGTAACTGAAGGCTGGTATTTTATTTTAATAAAACAACTGTTTGTTTTGGGGAGGGTATAGAAGGGGGAAAAGAGGATTCAGGCTTTAAAGCTTGTTGCTAGAAGCACCAAAGAGTTTTCTGTCTCTTTGCTTTAACCTGGTCATATCAATGCATCTTTCTATACAATTCATAAGTACTTCACATCATTGTCATCTTCATTGTATATAGATTCCTAATTCTGTGGAATAATTGCAGAGAAAAACGTTATACCTTATAAACAATTAAATGAAGCTCTTCGTAAGTGTCATCAGTGTTAACAAATATTTTGGGGAAACGGCATTTTGCTTCTGGATCATTAAGATTTAAAGGTCCAGTAAGAAACCTAGAAAATAATTCAGTAGGTCAGATGCGATGAATTCTTATATTTCAGTTTTTCCTATTTAACAGATGTTTTTGAAACTAGCAATTACTTGCATGTATGAATATTTGAATACAATAAGTTTTCAGCTATCCAGATAGGCGTAGAGCCCTTCATATATTATCTCAGCACTCTTACATTTTCAAAGTATTGTTTGCATATATGCTCCAAAGAGTTACAGAAACAGGATCAGAAAGCCAGAATAACGCCAAGGAAATAAACTGCGCAGATCAAAGAAACAACAACAAAACTCTTTCCACCTTCAAGTTGTGACTATCTTTAAAAACCCTTTTTCTGTGGCTACTGGGAAAGCACTCTTCCTTTGCTTTCCAACAGGACATTCAAATTAGTTTGATGTAGAACAGTGGTGTATTAGAAGCACCTAAACCGGGGGGGGGGGCGGGAGGGACAGGGGGAGTGTGTGCCAGTGCCTTGATCCCAAGAGAATACAATAAATCATGCAAGAGGAATTACCGTGATTAAAGAAAGATGTCCAAACCCACAAATATTCAAAATAATGTTGCCCGGCTGCTTAAGTACAGAATTGCCCACTCTGACATGCTGAGTACAGAGGAAAAAATAAACAGATAAATCCCTAGATTAAATCTACACCTTTGTCTGAAGTGCCTGACTGAAAAAGAAATGACCGGAGCACTTTCAAAATTTTTCATGCAGTGCATTAAGGACGGAAGAAAAATAAATATGCAGTAATGTTAATGAAGCCTTTTCTCTTTTTTTTCCAGAGGTCAAGTTTTACATTGCACCAACTACTGTGTGACCCTCTGGAATGAACTGTGTGTGGAATATGTACTCAAAATACATGTACTCCTCCCAAACATTTTCCCCTTGAGGAAGAAGCAGTAGATGGTGACAGTAAACAAGAGCTACCTTCCATAGTGTTGTAGATTTCCTGGCATTTCAGCACGTATCGGAGAATCTCTTCCTGCTAACTGAAGCGAAAAAGAACACACACAAGAAAAAACAACTTAGAGGTATTTTCTGTTACGTTTTGTGGACTGTCTTCAAATCAAATCAAAGCAAACCATTTGCAGAAATTGCCACTCATGAAGATATATACTCTTTGTGTAACATGAAGGAGGTAAAGCTAAAGTGTAAGAGATGCTCATAGAACAGGATGTTCTGATCTTGCATTTATTAATTTTGAAACTTAGCTTATGGAGCTTTTTGATGGGGGGAGGGATAACTAACTTCATGTGGTCTCACGGCACTCAATGCTGCATTTAGTCATTAAGCTGAAGTGATTAATTTGCTGTACTGAGCAGTCATCAGGTATCAACATTCAGTAAACTCCCTACCACCATCCCATATTCAAATTATCAGCACAATTCATATTGTAAGTGTTAGGTGCAAATACTACTGAGTTTAGTAAAGTGCCCCGAAAGCAGTAAATCTCAGAAATCCTAAACTAAAATTTAAGAGGGGAGGGGAAGAGAGATACTCCTCTGGTATTTTAGCCCTTAGTGATACCAGATAAACAGAAAAAAAAGAAGGAAAAAACCCAACCAAACACAAAAACCAAAACGACCAACAACCTCCACCCCCCAAAAAAACCCCAACTACCATACCTCAGGCTCCATGTGCCTTGGAAACAGAGATGTCGTGAGATATTTGTACAAAATTCTCATGTCATCTTGTTCCAGTCCACTCCTAGAACATCAGGGAGAAAAAGAAACACAAGCGATGTTTGTGCTGCAGTTCAGATCACACATTTTCCTCTAACCAAAACTCAGGCAAAGCACATACCAAACTAGGGTAGCAACATTTCAGTGTCTCAGTAGATTCAATCCCAGAACATTCATTTTTAATAAAATGTTAACGTTTATTTGCTAAATACAACACAATCTAAATTAGCCGTAAACCAGAAGAGAAATAGAAACAATATTTAAACAAAGATCAAGTTGGCTATTCTTAAGTCCATTTTTAAGTAGAACTCTTCACAAGCATTGCAACTTTCTGATTCAGAACCATATAAAGAACAATCCTTTAATTAACCTTCTCTACTAAGAGGTCCTACAGAGGAACTTGTGTATATGCATGGAGGCTCTGTGCGATGGAAATGACAAGGACACTTCTCTATCTGCTCCTCAGGCCAACTTGGAAGTAATCATTTGGTACAGGTTAGAGATTTTAAAGCCAAAGACCAATGCCTTTCTTACATATCACTCATCCTACCATGCAGTTTTCTCATTTTCATGCAACTCTCTCACCGATTCAGAAGCTTGGCTATTATGGCATTTATTTATAGGATGAGAAATTGAAGACACACGAAAGAATTATTGAAGTACCTACCAGATAAGCTGGTCGTTGTAGAGAAAGGCAGTATACTTGACTATGTTCAGGCTTTCTTCCATCCTATTAATAAATGACTGAATTTTCAAGTAAGTCATTTTATCCAGTGGAAAGAAGCTGATTCCACAAAACACATCCAGCAGATCACAAGTATAGGATGAGAAATTGAAGACACACGAAAGAATTATTGAAGTACCTACCAGATAAGCTGGTCGTTGTAGAGAAAGGCAGTATACTTGACTATGTTCAGGCTTTCTTCCATCCTATTAATAAATGACTGAATTTTCAAGTAAGTCATTTTATCCAGTGGAAAGAAGCTGATTCCACAAAACACATCCAGCAGATCACAAGACTGTAAATGCAGTGTCTGCAAGTACTAAGAGAACAATGACAGTTGTTTCTTAGAATTCAGAAAACTTCCAATGTGTAAATTTAAATGACAAATTTGAGTCTAATCCCCAGTAATCTACACTAACGATCCAAAAAAACCCCCTTCCAGTTCTGCTTGTATGACATACTCCTTCATGTGGGGACAGACTTTAGCAGGGCCTGTTGCGATAGGACAAGGGGTAATGGTTTTAAACTAGAAGAGGGCAGATTCAGACTAGACATAAGGAAGAAATTTTTTACGCTGAGGGTGGTGAAACACTGGCACAGGTTGCCCAGAGAGGTGGTGGATGCCCCATCCCTGGAAACATTCAAGGTCAGGTTGGACGGGGCTCTGAGCAACCTGATCTAGTTGAAGCTGTCCCTGCCCAAGGTAGGGGGGCTGGACTAGATGACCTTTAGAGGTCCCTTCCAACCCAAACCACTCTATGATTCTATGTGCGAATATGATTCCAGGTGTCAGCTTGCTATTATTTAATCATAGTGACAACAGCTTTTAAGGCTAGCTCAAGATCTTTTGCGAGGATAATAAAGCACAGCCCATCTTAGTAATATTTAATTTCAGAACTAACTCCATAGAAATATTAGCAGATAAATCCATTAGTTTTCAATATGCAAAGGAAAAGATAATTTCTATTACTCTTTCTTGAAAGACTGTAACCTTTACCAAGAGATTTCAAATGTACTATCAAATGCTCTGCTCTGTGAAAGATGAGTTATCCAATGGCTCCCTCTACAGTCATTTCACATTACCAAAAAAACCAAGAAGTAAAATACAAGTAGTATGACAGATCTCTGTCACAGTTTATAATCTAAGTCTTATTTCCTTTCACAGTTTCAGTGCAGTCCAAGCCTGCCAGCAACATGTAGCCAATTCGTTCAATAGGGTTATAATAGTACAACTTGAGTGACCAAACTTTTTAAGCATTTCTAATTTCCCAGCGAAAAAGAGAAACAACTTTTCCTTGGATTTCTTTCTGTTATACAAATCTATAGTGATTACTGTTTTATCTTCAGTAGGAACTTCAAAGAAAAACAGTGTTTTAAAGGTAAAAATGTATTACTTCCCTTTTTTGCCATGCTCTATTTTTTAATTTAGTCTAGACAGAAGTATACACCAGCTAATCAAACAAGTATTCCTTGTGCCAACAGCATTCATTCTAGAGTCTGATAGCCTTACAAAAAACAAGCAAAAAAAACCCCAAAACCCACAAGTGAAGGCTGTCCTAAAATCAAACTGAACTGTACTTTTGTTTACACTGTCACAACATTGTTATTTTAAAAACCTGTTAAGAGAACAAAATTTTAAACACCAATATACAGTCTCTACACTCCATCATTATCAGAGATATCAATATTCACATCTCTACCACAAGAGAATTAACTGCTGACAGCAGTCGTCTGTTTCCTTCCGTGCAAACGAGAAAAATGAGGACAGACAGACACTTGGTTGCCTTCTTTTACAGCTAGCTTGATGAAACTTTTCATGTAGGAACTCAAAATTCTGCCAGACATGACTACTCAGTCAGTTACTTTATGTGAAAAATACCTGAATAATATTTGATGGATTTCTTGCTCAGAAATAGGTTTTGCTTTCCATCCTTTCACTAAAACATTTGCTTTCAAAGATTGACATTAAATTCTGAAGACTAGTTATAAACCAAGGCAATATCTCCTGAAGCCTTATCAGGCATGACTACTAATTCCACATGGGGGGCGGGGTGGGGGGGAGAAGTTAAAAATTACAACTATTCATTACTTCACAGTACTATGGGACTTTAAGTCTGTGTATGCAGGTTGTGGAATCTCCATCCCTGGATATTTTCAAGACTCAACCAGCCAAAGTCCTATGCAGTCTAGTTTGAATTTAGTGTTAACCCTACTTTGAGTGGGAGGCTGAACTAGATGACCTCTCCAGATTCCTTCCAACCTGAACGATTCTGCAATAGTTACTCAAGTAAGTCTGCACAGACTGTTATCACACTAACCAATTCAAATGTTAAAGCAGAATTTCCAAAGAACGAACATGATTCCATCAGAAAAAATATTCAACAGCTAAGCTGTTCCATCAAGCCATAACCCTGCTTGTGGTTCAACTCCATTTAAAGAACCTACCACATTAGTAGGAAGCAGGAAGTATTTGAAAAAATGAGTAACCAAACTTTTTGTGTTGACACTGCACCTTTTCCACTGCCTATGTTTTATAGTTACACTGCAGCCACTTAGAGGAGATTTTTGCATTTTATTTCCAACGCAGAATCACACTGTATGTGCCTGAAAAATAAGGTCTTACCCGATGGAAGAATTTCTCTAGTCTCTCCTTTAGAACTTTTACACCTCCATCTTCCATGGCTTTCAGGAACGTGCCATTGAAAAGCTAACAGTTAAAAGAAAAAAAAAGTCCGTTGGGTAATCATTTACAGTAATTTCTTATAACTCAGCCATGAATATAACTAGATTACAATACAGCTCCTGTTTCTCAGTATTTGGACTCCACATAGATCCAAATGTACCCCTTCTTTATTGAAAAGCCTCTCTTAGACTTGCAGAGTCCAGGTATATATGACAGCAGAGGCAGAATTAGATAGAAAAGGAAACTAAATTCTTTAATGGTAGAGAAATCATTTAACTGTGTCGCTTAAGTATCTTATGCTCTTGCTTTGTAAAAGCCAGATTGATGGCCTTTATCCAGTATTGTTTCTCCAACAGATAATATCTAACACCATCAAAATCAAATGCTTAGTAGTGTAACTGCCCATAAAAGAAGAAATCTGGACTTCACAGAAATTAGAAGGCTTATTTTTACAATAAGCTAATGAACCAGCACAGGTAACTGCAAAAGCTTTATTTTTCTCTTCCATCAACACCATTACAGCTTCAGGAAGAGAGCAGGCAATAGTAATAAGATAGGAATGTCAAAGCAATGATGAACTTGCATATCCAAATGGTACCATGAGGATCTCTTCCTCTGCCCAGGAGAGGAGCCTCTAGTATTAACTCTACCTTGTACATGCTGTAGCACTGCTGTAGGACCGAACTATAAACCTTGTCCTGCAGAAAAGAGCAGGACATTAGTATAAGCAGAGGCAGAATTGCAAATATTTTGGCTGAGCTACACATAACGTTTTCAAAGAGCCAACAAACACAATTAGAGAAATCAATCTCTGAAAAGTTAAATAGCAT